AGACAGTGATGTTAATGGGAGGTGGGCAGAGTCTTGATGCCTGGATGCAAAATCTGGCCCATTATTTATTTCTTCCATGAACCTGAGTTAATTACTTATCATCTTTGAACCTTTATCTATAAAACTGAGAACAGATCTACTTCACAAAGTTGTTGTGAGGAATAAATTAATACAAACTGGACAGTTCATACTTTAGCATATATATTGACATCTACTAATTGCCAAGTCCTAGAGTAAGTGCTGAAAATAATAAGGTAAATACAATATCTGAGTTCAAAGTACACATATTCTCTGTTAGCTGGGAGAGACATGGAAAAACAGCACAACACAATGAAAAAGTGTTAAAATATCAGGGTGTACAAGGTGTTAAAAGCTTCCAAAATAATTTACTGTGCTTGCAAATGTGGAACTAAAGAAAGACCTTACATGAAAAAAAAAGGAATGGATATTAGAACTAGGTTTGAATGACTATGTTTTTACCAAAATGTTTTTCACTTGTGAACTCGGATACATTCATCTCTCTGAGCTTTAGTTGTCTCAGCTGGGAATAATGGTAGTACTCAACTCAAGGGGTGATTGTGAGGGTGAAATGAAATAACGTGTGAAAAATACTCAGCATAGTGCCTAGTACCCAGCAGGAACTCCACACAGATGCTAGTTATTTTTATGCCATTGTTCCTTTGGAGAACTCTGGGAGTCATTCAATCCCACTGGAGTCAAGGACATATCAAGGTCACAGCTAGTTAGGAGCAGAGCCTAAAGTAGGATCCACACTGCCAGTTTTGTTCCAAAATGAAAATAAAAGTTTTATATGTATCCAACCCCATTTTTTCTCCTAAGATTAAAGTAGTTTCTTTTGTGTAAAGTAGATAATCCAGTGAGTTTTTCCAAATGAAAATTTTGAATGAAATCATTCAATATTTGAATGAGGTCATATCTGACAGGGTTACCCATTTCTAAAGAGCTGACGAGTACGCACATATCAGCTCACTACTGCTTATAAAATATTTCTGCTGTTTCTCCTACATGATATAGTTCTCTTATTATATACCTCGAATCACTGAGTTCTATGCAGCCTATTTAATTAACTTTCAAATCAAAGGAAAATGAAAAGTAAGGAATAAGTTCTATTTATAATCAACATACAATTACTATTGTGATTTAGAATGGAAAAACACAAAATTATAAAACCTAGTCTCCATTTTAAAAATGAATATTTTGTTTCTTACTGTGCTGCAAAGCCATTGTTTCACTACGTAAAAGCAGCACCAGAAATGCAATATGTTGCAAAACTAAGATATTATTTGTTCTTTGTCTGATATTGGATAATTGATAGTTTCCCTGACTCCCAGTTATTTCCAAAGGGAAGATCATTTAAGTATTTCAATCCAAATCCAGGAAAGAATGTAAGCAAGTTACAATATGATACAAGGCTTATTTTACTATTACCTTTGAGTTACATATTTTATATAACTAGTTTTTACCATGGATAATTCCATGAATTCTGAATGTAAGAATCTACAACATAGTCTAAAAATTACAAGGTACATAAAAAGATGCACATAGTGTTTAACTGCAATGATTAGGAAGTTAAAGGGTATTTTCTTCCAAGAGTGGTGTTGAGAGTGGTTTCTTTTCCATCATTATATTATTACTAAAAGTTGTGATCTTAAGTTTTCTGTCCACCATTAATTTAACCCAACTATGCTGGAGTAAGTGATTTTACACTAGTCTATTTAGGGGTATCATCTCATTCCTTAATAGATTCCATGTATTTCTCATATGCTTCCTCGCTCATGAGTTTAACTACTTCTTTAGGGTCACTCAGTCAACTATTTTCATAAAAAGATTTGTTGACAAGCTCTGAATTTTCTGCAAGGGCCTTGCTAATTTCAGTTAATTCTCTTTGTAGAGGAGAACAGAGTTCACCGGCAGCTTTCACACTCTAAACTCATCTTGCGTTTTCGCTTTTGTCCAACTTCAGGTAGACTGTAGAAAACAACAACTCCCAAAATTCTCTGTACAAAATTGCTGATTCCTATTAGTCCAATACCTTTTTTTTTTTTTTTTTTTTTTTAAACTGGGGATTGAACTCATGACCTTGTGCTTTGCCAGGCAGGTGCTTGTGCTGCTGAGCTAGACCCCTGGCCCTGCAATACTACTTTCTGTTGTTACCCATTCATGTTTCTCTGTGAATTTACACACATTCCTGGCCACTCACCATGGCATGTTTACAGGGGTTCTGCAGGTCACTGTTCTGAACTTTCCATCCCTTTTGAGATAAAGTAAGCCAGATCCACAAGAAATGTGAAAAAAAGTAATCCTGGAACAATAGAGCTATTCCATAGCGACATAAGATAGACTGGATACAGTCACACAAAGATGACCAGTTAAACTGGTATTTTCTTGGATGAGAGCTAATGAGAATCTAAGAGAGAAAGTAATTGTTTGGCAAGTGCCAAGCTAATAATGTTCCATAGAGTACCTCAAAAAATGATTTCTGAGTCAGCTATAAAAAATAGTAATGGATGTAGATTAGCAAAGAGAAGGGTAGGATGACTGGCAATAGTTACTGTCTATTGAAGAAGAGCAAGGTGAAAATTGGGAGAGATCTGGGATACTATAGAAGGACTGATGAATATGAATTCTGAGGGATGGAACTAGAAAGGAAATGAGAGGTTTCAAGCAGAAATTGTGTGTCTCTGAGGAGTTTAATTAAATTATGGAGTTGTGAAGGTGCCAAGAGACAAAGAGGTGAAAGAAGCCTAAAATCTGACAGCTGCATGCTTTGGGGTTAGTGAGTCCTCTTAATGAAGCTCCTTAACTTGAGCATTATCTGTAAGACATTAATGGCAGCTATTTTCTGAGCTGTCATGAGGATAGAATGAGATGGTCTGCAGACAGGCACCATGCTTGCTGTACGGAACATAGTGGTTAGTTGACATTACTTCTGCTAGAAGGGTATAGATTCTATATGATTGAGTCATAGGTATCTAAGACACAGGATTTGGGTGGCGGCTGCATCCAGAGAGTTTCTCTTGGAAACTTGACACAGACATAAAGGGCCTTGTGTTTCTAGTCAAAGGTAATCCAGAGAAACAACTTCGTCTTCACCCTGTAGGGAGCTGAAAGGGAGAAAAGCCTTGAAGAGGGGGCAGGAGCGAAGGAGTAGAGAGCAGAGAAAGAAGGAAGGGAGTCAGGACAGACAAAATAAGGGGAAGATCTGCACCCTTTTGGAGTCTGAGGCTCAAAAACAAGGGCCATGCTGGGATGGGCTTTCACTCATCTGGTGAACCAACTGGCAATGGGGAAAAGGACAGGACAGCTAGGGTAGCTAGCCTGAAAAATAACTGGGTTTTACTAGCCTGAATTCATTCATTTCCACTTTTTGGATGATAAGTTCAACTTAGAATTACATGAGCTAATGCACATAAAGTCATTTTCTGAAGAGCAAAATACTGTGGGAATAAAGTGTTATCAGTGATTTTCTGTGTAGTTTATATCAAGAGGTTTCCTCAAATGATGCTGAACCAGTTTGTGCACTTCAAGCAGGTGTCTGTGTGCCTTATACATTACTTCGGGGTGAATGGGTGGGTTCATAGGGAAGCTGAGGGTGGCCAAGGGATGGCAGGCAGGGCTGGAGGTGTAGACCCAGGTGGTGGCTCTTCTGTGGATTCCCGGCCTGGAAAGTCATGCCTCAGACTTGACAAACATCCCCAGAGGCTGCTCTTTGGAAGTTTCAAGGGTGTACATTTTCTCAAAGGGTTAGATAAAATGAAAGTGCCCAACTAGTGAGAAACAGAACATAGGACTCAAGGACTGGGGATATAGCTCAGCTGCACGGTGCCTGCCTGGCAAGCACCAAGTCCGGAGCTTGATTTCTGGTTCCAAAACAAACAAACATACATACAGACAAGAACACATAGGATTTAAGAGTTTGGCTCCTAGTTCATGTTCATTAATTGTTTGCTGAAATGAAGACAAATGTGAGATGGCTGATATGGCATCACAAAAGAGACATGACTTTGCAAACCCATGCTGCTTTGGGTTTGATGTTACTGGCAGCAGAAAGCCACTGTTTAGCCTAAAATGGACTTGTAAAATCCTGAAAACTGAGGGGAAAATGTCTACCCAAGGTCACTCATTTAGTAACAGACTTGAAAAAAGATTTTCATAATGAGAATAATAGTGGCTGAAATGATTTATTTAAGCAAGACTGAGGACATTTTTCTAAACAGGGCTGCACCTTCTAGTTGGGCAGGTTATTCATTGCACAAGTGCACAGGAGAGAGTGATGCTGAAATCAGTCAGCCCTCTGTTCACTAAACCATGTGTGCTGAGGTGAGGTTGTGCCTTTCCAGAGAAAGGGATGTCTTTTTCCATTTCCCACAAGGGCATCTAAGTGACATGTCTCTGTTTCTGAGGTCTGAAAACATAATGGTTGATCTTCTGCTTAGATCACTCAGGGTGACTTTCAGGTTTGGGTTAAGAAAACAAAAAGGAGCAATAATGTGGAATAGAAAATTGAAGATGAAAATAATAAAAATGTAAGATAGAGGTACTACAAAAGAACAGTAGAGTGAGGCAGATCATGAAGAATGGAAGGAGGGCTACAGGTCAGTGGATGGGACCCCTACATATTTCTGCTGTTATAAGTAAACTTGTAAAGAAATTTCACAATGACCTAATCCAAAACAAAAGTGAAAATGGGACAAAATGCAATATGGAAGCATTTTGCAATAAGGAGCAACAAGTCTGGTACCTAAATTCAACAATTGTACAATCCGGACTGGAAAAAGCCCATTTTACCAGCAACACATGTTTTCAGGGAAAGCAAGTAAAACGAATGTGCTTCAGAGGTCTTCTGAATTTCTTTTCACTTCTGCCCAAACCCCTTTACTCTTATGTCCTGCTAGCATTACTGTGAAACTGGATGGTTGCAACTCATGTTTAACATTTGAGTTTGGATGATGAAGGCTTATTATGTTTGCATTTTCAAGGATCTGCTGGTCTTGTTTCTCCTGTGAAACATTCAGAGTCAAATATTCCTTAACTCTGAGATGGAGTTTGGTCTTAAAACAACCTAAGAAATGGCTTGACACTTTCACGGTTCCAAGGAGGGCATAATTTGCATATGAGCGAGATGACAATGCCTAAGCACAGAATTTCACGTAAGTATAGAAAATTACTTTCAAGAATATTTGCTTTATGGGTCTCATCATTCCTCATTTTTCTTCACAGATCAGGAAGAACCATGGCCAGTACTTTTCTTGGATTCTTATCCATGTACTGCTTTAGGTTGGACATTGAATTCTAGCTAGGAACTTTGTGACATGGTATCTTCCCTTTGAGATTAGCCTTTAATATTTTATTTATTCAACACTTAATGGATCCCAACTGTGTTAGGTCCTGAAAAAACAAAGTTAACAAACGCATGTCCTTTGAGTTCTTAGGAAGAAGAGATAGATGTGCTGTGCCTGTTAGAGGTGGAGCCTAATGGAAGTTAAGTTCCTGAGGGGCATGTCCTAAAGAGAGATATTTTGGTTACACATATCTCTCTTATTGCTTTCCAGCCACCATGAGAAGAACAGACTCCTCCACCAAGTACTCCTACCATGATGGGCTGTCTAACAATAAGGCCAAGTGACCATGGACTGAAATCTGTGAAATTATTCACCAAAATAAATCATTTTTTCTTTTCAGTTTGTTACTTATTTTATCAAAATGATAGACATCTCATGAACACAACATGTATTTTAATAAACACCACATAATATTTTGTTATGACAGATGTCGACCAGGGGATCAGAGGAGACACCCAGAAAGAGGAGGTACCCCCAACCGCAGCAAGCTGAGGGAAGAAGCCAGCCTTGGGTCAGGAAGATGTGGATAGGCCAGTTGGCCAGTCAAAATCCCGTTTCTAGAGCAGGTGGAATAAAGAACATACTAAGTGAAAGAGGTGATAAATGGGTCAGGGCTAGCACATAGGAGTATGACTCCAGTGGGAGCATAAATTCTCTCTAACCTGCAAAGCCATGGTCCTAGTGGGCACAGTACAAAAACCTGGCCTCCTTATTTCCTTGTGATGAGAATGTATTTCAAGGTAGGCCCTCAGTGAAGTCAAATTAATATTTATGAATTCCAGAACTACTGTTGTTTTGTGTTATGTTTTAAAATGCACATCTTACATATACATTGCTCCCTGTAGTTAAAAAAGCATCCTTATTTTTCTTTCCTTTTTTCATCCACTTAAAAATTTTTTTTAAATTAGATTTCATTGGCATATTTTAGACATACACAATGATCACATGTGTCATAGAGAATTTGTACATGAATATGTTATAACTTGTTTGTTTTTCCCATTCCTCTACCTTCCTTTCAACCCCTTCTCTCCTCCCACTTACATTTCCTTTTTGAAGCTAGGTAATTAAGTCCCTTGAAGTATGGATGGGGGATTGATTTTCATCAGTATCAGTATTTCACCTGCCTTTTCTTCTTTGTGAGATTTCCAATTTTCTGACAGGTCATTTTCACTAAATTTACAATCTGACTTTGGATTTTAGAGGAAATCTATGGTCTGAACCTGGAATGCTCACTCTAATATTCCCTAAGATTGTCTAACTTCCTACCTGGGAACCATCTATCTAGAGCCTTTATTTAAATTCATTAATGCTTCTGGAGAATGTAGATTTGTCTGAGATGAGTCAAACATTGTGAGTAGTCAGCATTTCCAAGTGTGGCCCACAAAGCATCTTTGAGCCTGCCTCCCCAGAACTATTTCTCTTCTTCTAGTGTTGGGGGAGGGGAGAGAGATTCTTGATTGCAAGGAGGGTGTCTCCTACGCCTGCCCAAGGGATGACTGGAGACAGGTCTGACTGGTTATGTCCCCTCCATCCTGGTTTGTTCTCACCCGTTTCTTGTCAATGATATGTTAAGAGAAGTCACTGGAGATGCTGTAAGTAAAAACCATATTTTGTAATAAAGGGATCAAAACCAAGGGAAAAACCTGAAGAAATCTAGTTTCATTTACTTTTAGTCATTTGCTTCTAGGTAACTTTAAAAATCACTAATTTTGGAGATAACACAGTTGAACAATATATTATGTTTTCACGAGCTCTGTTGTATATCAAATCAGATATTTTTCTTTTTTTTTTTCCTTTGTATCGGTACCAGGGATTGAACTCACGACTGCCTGCTTGCAAGGCAAGTGCTTATGCCGCTGAGCTAAATCCCCAGCCCCCAAGCTCTGTTGTATATAACACCACTGACTTGTGCATTATAACAGCCTAGTAGGTTACTTTTCAGGGATTTGAACACTGTTTGTATTGAAACTACTGACTTTTCACTTTGTGGAAGTCTAGTGGATGACCCTTTGACATTAGAGAGCCAAAACTTCCAATTCAGACCTAGCTAATACTGCCATTTTCTGAACATGCATCCTATGGAGAGTATGAAGTCTGGTTACACGTATGCAGACCACTGATGACTTCACCTCCAATTACCTTTCCCTGCGCTTTAAATTACTCTGCTTCTTTACCCCAAAAATATCTCCAAGCCCTATCCTTAAAAAAGTATACTTGACCCTTTACCTACTTGCACAAGAAGTCCATCTCATTTATAAAACTGTTTTGGGGGAATGGCATACTACATGGTGGGCAAAAAAGGCCTTGTCTGGTAACAAGACCTGGGTTTTTCCTTGGGTTACCATAATATAGCACAAGCTGTATATCTCTTATGAGAAATGCATGGGACTAGAAGTACTTCGAAGTTAGTTTTTGGAAAATCTGTATATATACAACGAGGTATCTTAGTGATGGAATGTATTATGGTTTGTGTTTAGATGTACCCCCAAGCAGTCATGAGGGCAGGCTTCTAGAGTTTGTGATTGATTCATGGTCCAGTGCTGGGATTATGAGTGTGAGTGCAACACTCACTCTGGGGTAGGTAACCTGCATATAATATATGAGAGGGAAAGAGGCTTGTGCTCTGTCTCTCTCTCTCCTCCCTTTTTGCTCTTGCTGCTTTTGCTGTCTTTTGCTGCCATGAGCTATTAACCAGTACCACATTACCCTGCTTGGAGCCAACTGATTTTGGACTGAAACTTCGACAAATTGTGAGCTAAGAAAATATTTCTTTCCACTCTTCTCTCCATGTGGAGAGCATGCTGCAGCTGCCCACCTGGAGGAAGGGGCTGAGCTGAGCTTCAGGAATCTGCTCTGCCCTTGCCTGTGACCTTCTCTTGGCCTAGAGAGCACCAGTACTGCTGTCACCACCTGTGGAGGGAGCAGCCCTGCGGAGGAGGTTTGAGGCCTACCTAGCCCATAAGGGTGACCTTCTATCAGCCCAGGGAGGTTTGCCACCCAAGGAGGTGGATGGTTACACAACATCCAATTCTTGGAAGAGTATGAGATCCTTGCTGTAGGTGGTTGGGGCCCACTGGGCTTGTGGCTGTGGCCACAAGAGTGAGCTTAGTGGGATTTGGGCCTGCCTGGACCATGCCTGTTGGCCTTCTTTCCAGCCAGACAGCTTGGCTGCCAGAGTGGTGAGCTGTGCAGCTTGAGGAGGCTTTAGGCCTACCTGAGATGAGCCTGGCAACCTTCTTTTAATCTAGGGGCCTCGCTGCCCAAGGAGGGAGCTACGCTACCAGAGGAGTCCCAGGAGCCCAGGACATAGAAGACAATTTCCGGCACACGCAGGGGAAGCTTTGGAACAACACTTGAAACATGGAAATATAGGAAAATGACAAAACGAAAGACCAAAATGCAATCTCAAACATCCAGCCCATTCCAAGAAAGCCTAGGAGCCATCATCGAAGAAAATACATGCCATACATCTGAAATATCTGGAATAATAGTAACTGAAATAAAGAAGCAACTCCAGGAAGCTTTAAAGGAGTTCAAATGAGAAATAATATTCCAGGTAAAAGAAGAAATGATAAAAGTAATGACAGAGATGCTAAACACATCTAAAGAAGACACAGTTAAAAAAATTAGAGGAACAAAACAAAAAGAGTTCCTGGATGAACAATATAAGAAAAAAACAATATATAAAACAGATTCAAAGAGATATACAGGAAATCAAAAATTATATTGGAAGTTATAAAAACCGCCTCAACGAAAGAGAAGATAGAATTTCAGATCTCAACAAGATTGCAGCTAGTGAACAGGAAAGGAAAGATCTCTTAAAAATAACAAGGAATCAGGAAATTACAATCCAACAGCTGCAAAATGACTCAAAGAAAAACAATGTAAGATTAATAGGGATAGATGAAAAAGAAGAGGACAACACAAATGATATCAAGAGACTGTTTACAGAAGTAACAGCTGAAAATTTCCCAAACATGAGAATGGAAACTGACATTAGGATTTTTGAAGCATATAGAACTCCAAATAGCCATAATCAAAGCAAAACTACACCCAGACATATAAAAATCACCATCCCAGAAATCCAACATAAAAATAGAATATTAAAAGCTGTCAGAGAGAAGAGACAGATCACCTATAAAGGAAAGCCTATCAATTATAGCAGACTTCCCAACACAAACAATGAAGTCAAGAAAAGCATGGAGTGAAGTATTTCAGATCCTAAAGGAGAATGACTTCCAACCTAGACTGATGTACCCAGAAAAACTGTCCTTCAAAATGGATTGAGACATAAGATACTTCCATGACAAAGAACAGCTGAAGAACTTCATGATCACCAAGCCAACCCTGCAAAGAATACTGAAAAACACTTTAGATGCACATAGGAAAAAACCAATAAACAAGACAGACAACTAAGCAGTATGGAAAGATAAAGATGCAACAGCAAAAAAATAACATGTCAACAATAAACCAATATATAACAGTTACAACCATTAATGTAAATGGTCTCAATTCACCATTAAAAGAAACAGACTTGCAGAATGGATCAAGAAACAACATCCAACCATATGCTGTCTACAAGAAACGCATCTAACTCAAAAAGAAACTCATAGACTGCAAGTCAAAGGATTAAAAAACAATATTACATGCAACAGGAACCCCCCAAAAAGTGGGGGTAGCTATCCTGTTTGCAGATAACGTGAACTTTTGAAGAATGATCCTCAGAGACAAAGAAGGTTATTACATACCGGTTAGGGGAAAACTTCAAGAGGAAGAGATAACTATCTTAAATATATATGCACCAAATTCCAGAGCACCCAGTTACACAAAGCAAATATTAATAGAAATAAAAAATCATATTAACAATAACACAATTATAACAGGAGACCTTAACACACCATTGACACCAAGGAACAGATCAACCAGACATAGAATCAGCAAAGAAATAATAGAACTGAATCACACTTGTGAACAAATGGATTTGATAGACATATACAGAGTGTTCTATCCAGCAACATCAGAATATACATTCTTCTCAGCAGTACATGGAACATTCTCTAAAATACACTACATAGTAATACACAGAACATATTTAAATAAATGCAAAAGAGTTGAAATTATCCCATGCATGTTATCAGATCATAGCACCATGAAACTAGAGATTAATGATAAAAGAAACTGCAAAAACCCCACAAAAATATGGAAATTGAATAACATACTCTTGAGCAATCAGTGGATCACAGAGGAAATTAAAGAAGCAATTATACAATACTGACAAGCAAACGAAAATACAAATACAACTTACTGGAATCTGTGGGATGCAATGAAAGCAGTCCTCA